AAACCGAATGTGTCTTCATCAGTTGTCACCTTTTCATATGCCTGTTTCACAAATCTTGATAACAGTGTAGAATCATTCATCATGGGTATGTACACTTTACGGTTGTTTGCATATTTTTTGAATTTTCGAATTGTTTTTACACTTTTGATTCCTACTTCATTCTCGATAATAAACCGCAAATAGAGTGATACAACTTCACGAGGCAAACTTTTTGGCCGTGTTATCTCGCAACTTGTCCCGTGGAAGTTGGTTCATTTCTCGAACAGTTGGATCATCGGGGTGATTAATCTCATCCTTATTGTCTTTCCAGAAATCAAATTTCCATGTTTGATGACGTTTGACGATGGGATCTAATTTCAATTCAATGTGGAAACTTGGGCGTTTTTTGGTGCTTTTACAAGAACAATGTCCCGCATTCTTCCCGTACTCAATCCAGCGTCTCGTCGCAAAATTAACGGCTTCATTATAGTTAAGGCCACAATTGAAGCCGGAATGGAAAATGTATAGAAATGTTATGATGATATCTCCCGGGTTTTGTACCACTCTGATTCTTTTTATTTTATGCTCTTCAAAAAAGTCTGAGCCGAAAAGACACATCTTGTGACGGAGAAATTTCGCACAGGTGAACTCAGGATACATACTTGAGACAATATTGTCAAAACGGAGTCCGTCTTCACGCGGTATGAAGTGCCATATTTTTGGCTTCCCGTGAAGTTGTACATTTATGGAATATGCATCATAATCCTCAGTATGCCAACCAAATGATGACATCCAGCTGCCTACATAACAGTAGGGAGTGTGAATTCCACTGACTAATTCTCCACTGGGTGTCTTGCCAGGTCTAAAATTGATTTCAAACTATTCAAATTCCATCCAGGAATCTTTCGGCAAAGAGAGAAATCGATATCGGCCGCGTAGAAAGCGTGGCTACTGGTCAAATTTGCCCAATATTCATTCTCATACTCATTGATATTATTAAAATGACGCTCAGTTTTTGATACTTGGTCAACATAATCCCCAAGTGTCATTGTGCGAGATTTAATTGGTAGTGCAGATATTAAATAGCCCTTATCGTTTCTTTGAATCAACTGCTTGATGGGTTTTATTGACAAACTGCTTGGTATAGAAGATACGGCATCCCATTGACCGATCCATTCAGGAGGAGCACCTATACGAGCAAAACCTGGATCAAAATAGTTTTCATCCAAGTAACCCATACAGTTTTTAAAGTTGCTAAATTCCTCGAATGTGGGTTTCAGAATGCTCTCGTCGTGTACTATAAATGTTTCGGCCATGCTGTAAAAAAAAATAGAAAGTGGATTCTACAAAAGTTAAATAGTTCAATGTTTTTGACACAAAAAGTAATGTTAATATGTACTAAGGCAAAGGTAGAGAACTATCATTGATCTCACTGAGAAGATCGTCATGCGGTATGACTCATCTAATAAATCATTTGGATCAAAAGATATCTCGTTCGTCGACTTTTCTGAGTTACAGATCGGAATTTAATTGTTACGAAAATTAATCGAGAGCGTGGAGTCAAATGTATTTTTATTGTTACATTTTAAAATGTGAAATTTGGCAAAATAATCAGAAATAGTACCGTTATCTTTCGTTAAACAAATGGTTATATGTATTTTATGGATAAATTTTTCGTCAGCGGCTATGGAGTATCAGTAGAGATTTGGAGTATCAATAGAGAGAAACAACTTTTTTCTAATGCAAGTAAAAAAAAATTATTATTCAATTTTGAATTTCTTTTTGGAAGTTTAGATAATAAAAAAATATATCTATAGACATTAATAAATTTTATTTGTTTTTTGTTTCGGAGTACAAACATCGTCTATTAAAAAACGATAACATGACTATAGACATCCCATAGCCTCTGCTATTTCATTTTTGTCTAGAAATTTTCATCTCGATTGTGTTTGAAATTTTGTTTACTATATTCAAAATCATAATATTACATTTATAAATGTCATATAAAACTACAAAACTACAAGTGCCTCAGAATTTGACAGATGTGTATTTAGATTATGTTGTGGCGATTGTGAATGTGTCAGACAAGTAATAAAACTGATAATTACCTTTATTCCTTATGAAATCGGTCCATAAACGTAGAAATCTGAATTGACATGAATTATTATATACCTCAATTCTGTCTTGCAATTTTTGTTTAATGTTATAAATCAACGCAATTTCCACAAATTTTGTTCAAAATCTCACTTGGTCAGCAGTGTTTACAAACAGTTGAAACAGATGAAGTACCGCACATCCGTGATACCAACATAACCTTGCGGAACCAATCACANAACAGATGAAGTACCGCACATCCGTGATACCAACATAACCTTGCGGAACCAATCACACTCGTCTGTGCAGCTGTTACGTACCCTGTACGTGGGTCATACGATGTACGCAACTGTTT